ATGACACGTCTCTACCTCCAAGGAAGAACTGAAACAGTGCGCAGCAACACAATAGAAGCCAAAGAGTTTGTTTTGGCATTTGTGGATCCAGCGGTTCCTGTGGACAAGAAATATAAGCTGCTCCTCAAAGCTGCTGAGGTTCATGCCAAAAAGTACAAGGACTGTATGAATGGCAAGGGAATTGATAGGCATCTCTTTGCACTCTATGTGGTTTGCAAGGGCCAAGGTTATGTAAGTATTATGAGTTTGAAGATTTTTTATCTTACAGTAGCTATCACGCATTACCACTACATCTCTTAAAATTAATACATTTGGCACAATACATTGTATGATATTGAAGATGAAGGGGTAGTGTCTGTGCCATCACGCCATTGAACGTTATACATTGTATAAACAATCATTTTTCTGTTTCGTGACTATTTCCACTTGAGACATAGGTTAGTCATTTTAGAGATAGTATCTGTCAGGAATCCTTATTAACAGCTAGTATCTTTAACGGAAAATGTGGCATTATGTTAGTGGGGGAGTAAAAATGAAAATTGGTTTTATCAATATCCTTTCATATAAAATTGACCGCTGTAGAGAAATTGAGAAAAGCTGGCATAAATGGTCTGACAGATTCTCTCCATGACAAAGGGTTAGTGCTTAAAACAGCTTCTCATCCTGCCTGTGGTAACCAATTTGCGTAATTAGCTCAGATTACACTTCAATGGCACAAATTACAATTCGAAATTAAATGAATAAATAAACAAACAATAATGGCAAATAAACAAAACTAATAATAAAAATAATAATAATAATAATAATGATAACAAAAAGCGAGGGATAATGTGAAAAAGAGTAGACACCCCATACAAGAAAGATCACCTTCTAAAAACAATGAATATCGAAAAGAACTATGATAATTATAAAGCGCAAGATAAAAAAAAATGAAATACCCACCCTGTAACAGTAAGGTTTTTAGAAATAAAGTCAAATATACCATAAAGTACAAAACTATTACAAATAAAACAAGCTCATCCCACTCCCAACCCCTGCCTGCTTTAATACTATCATTAAAAAAGACTGCCTATTAAACATGGAGCATGCAATTAAACCAAACACAGCAAAAGAAAAATAATGCAAAACCTCTAGATGTGTCATGACTTCAACAAACAGATGTAACTTACAATACAGCAAAATGTTTTTTTTAAATAATGTAGTGTCAGATTGAGATCTTCAAGTAAGTGGGGGAGCCACTTATATAGACCCTAAGATATTAAAGGGGGCCTGGCCTTGAAAAGAATCTCTCTCAGCTCAACAGACTTTAGTTTGGCCAAAAAATAAGGTGAGCACCCTGGCCTTCAGGCCCTTCCTAAAATCTTCCACTGTATTGTCATTAATACAGTCAACTCTTTTTATAGCGAACAGTCCAGGGACCTCGAGTTAGTGTCTTTAACAGCGGGAGTCTGTAATGGCAAGAGTTTACCTCAGTCAAACATGTGCAGTTTATTTTTTCCTGGGCTGTATTATTGGCATGTCCATTATCCACAAGGCAAGAGTTGACTGCACCGGAGTGTAAATTTATGCTTTTTCAGTATGCCATTACTAAGTATTTGGCAAGTAAAGGAAGTGTTCAGTTCTGTTTTAAAAACTGAATACATCTTTCACCACTTCACCAACTCAGTTAATGATATACATAAATAAATAAAAGGGGAAATTAGCCATTCAACCATTTTTGTTTTGCTTTTCAAGGAAAGTGAATTTGTCAAGAGTGCCTTGAGCTTGCCATGGACTCTGTCAACAAGTCAACAACCTCAACAGCAAATGTCTGGGCAGCACTTTAGTGTAAACGAGCCAGAACTTGCACATTTGGTATTAAAGGTTCTTTTGCTAGTATTGAAGCACCAATGATAGTTCTGTGAATTAACAGTGATTATGTTGTGCTTCAGAAAATGATTTCATTCACCACTTTGGAAATCAGAAAGAAACTGTCCCAAATTAACCTTTACAAATTAAGACTTCTGGGACTGTTACTTAGGGTTGGGAAGAATTGGCCAACAGCTGATGGGCATGTCCCCAAGTAAAGATCCCATGCAGAAACAATGAATTATTGTGAGACACATTGATGAATTTGAATGTTCACATACCACATACAGGATTTCATTCCTAACAACATTATAAGGGAGGTGTTTTTAACTATGGTACTGTTATTTTGTAAAACTTCAATCCACCATATCTCTCTGACCAATATGGAATATCTGTCTTACCTCAAGAACCACGTCAATATTATTATATTTGGTAGCAAAATGCTTTGGTTCACAATTATAATATTTATAGCAATTGTATATCTTCTGAAAAACTTCCCCCTAATGCAAGGGCTGAATATTATTTTTTTGGTAATTCAAAGAACAATTCAAAGAAGAGCATTGTGACTTGAGATATTTGATTTTAATTTTTAACATTTTTCTGGTCTGCACACAGATTTCGCCTGGTGGTGGGTTTGGACCTGTGGCTGATGATGGCTATGGAATTTCTTACATGGTTCCTGATGACCACAAGGTTTTCTTCCATATTTCTTCCAAGATTTCGTCAGAACAGACAAACTCTGAGAGATTTGTCCGATTATTGTTTGAAAGCATGGCAGAAATAAAGGAACTGTTTGAGGCAGTCAAGACTGCAAAGAATCAAAACTGTAAACCATAACACAAAAGGATGAAATAAAACCGAAAAATAGGAAAACAGTATTTAAGTATTGAAAATACCATTCTTATGGGATTTATGTACATTAACGCTACAGTTTTTTTATACGCTACATGTCAGTATTTGACGAAAGTCAGTTAAGGTACCATATTTATACTTCCTGGAGGAATTGCAACCATGGACATAATGTTCGTTTAAGAACCTGATCACACCTACTCAGCCAATAAGTATTCTGTATTTTTATGCTGTATATTTCAGTAACTGTTCAAAGGGCAGTAAAATTATGGGATTAAAATATATTCCATGGAATGAATCTTGTAAGCAATGCTGATGCAGTTCTTTATCTTTTTTGCAAACATTAACTGTATATTTTTGAAATCAGCTTGGACCAAGGGATATTTTTATTTGATGGTTTCAAAATTAGTCTTGACACTTTTTACTGACTATAAGGTAGTATTTTGTTGCTACTCAGATTGTACAGTATGCATCATGTCAATTTTTCCTTCCCCCCACCCCCCCCCCCGACAAAAAAAGAAAAAATTATACTAAGGTGGCAGAAACAGTGTCAATCTCCTTTTTGTGCTCAGTGCACAAACTTCTATGATAGCAATAAAAATTGCACACAAAAAGCATGCATTATTCAGAAGGCATTGACATTGTAAAGATTACCACCAATAACGTTTAATGTTGTCAACAAAATAATTGCCTGCTTTGAAGTGTTGATTACAAAGACAAATAATTTTTAATATTGCACATGAGGGAAGAATTGGCATAAAATCTAAAATTCTTTGAGTGTGAAATGACATTCTAAGATTATGGCCACTTTATGGCTTCTATAGATCTGTGTTGGTGACTATCCCATAGGACATAAGCACTTGTTGTCTAGGTAACCCTTGTAGAATGAATGATCATCCTCACAATATAAGGGGAAAATTGAAATACGTTTTCCACAGTCATATGTCTATTATTCCAAGACTGGTGTTGAAAAAGGTCTTAGTTTTACATAGAAGGGCCTGTAGTTTTGTTGACAGGATGTTTCTTTTGTCTTTCCAGTCAATGTTCCATAATTAAAGTAATTTTTAGTTTAATAAACATGTTATGGAATAATAATTATTCAAAGTGTCGTACATTTTGTTCCTTTACTCTCTCCAAGGATCTTGAATTTTTATATTAGAGAGTGCTGTAATGTATTGTTTGGAGACTGTTATGTTACCTTTAGATATATGTATATCTTGCTTTTAACGTTTGTCCCAAGACCTAAATTGAAAAGCTTTCCCTAGCAATTTAATTCAATCGATTACATTTTTATGATGATATCATTTTGCTACATTATTTTACGGAGCTTATTTTGCATATTGCTCTTCGAGTCAAATTAAACCCAGTGCGTTTTAATTAAGTTATCGGACCAGTAAAGAAGAACAAAATGTGAATGAACCTGCTTCTTGTAGCTAGTTTATAGCATCATGTAAATTAATGGCCTTCCTTAGAGTGGATAGCATGAATGCAACTGCCTTAGTTGAGTTCTAATAATATAAAGAATGTCATAACCTCAAAGGGGTTTGGTCAAGGAATTTGAGCGTAAGTACTTGCAATTGAAGACCCCCTCTAGAAGACAAGCTAAAGACATGCAGACATTCCCCAATTTACATATGGCTTTTGAGGTTGATCACCAAGATCAAAATATCCTTTCTTCATTTAAGTGTACAAGTTGGCTGTGGTAAATAGTTGCAAGGTGATTTGGTTGTGGATACACGGCTGCCCTTCTACAGCAACACAACCCATGGACATTTTGCTCTCTCTAGTTCTCAATATCAGCATTCACATGAAAAAATAAGGGGTACCATCTCAATCAGGGGGACATGGGTTACCAAAGCTGGTGATCAAAATATGGTCACAACGTACAAAACACACCTTCATTGCTGGACGGCAAACGACGCAGAGGGACCTTGAAAGAAAAGATATCAGCTTTTTAAGTGCTGCTGCATTGTTTGCAATATATCCCGCAAGGTGTGTGTTGTACCATGTGACTGTATTCTGCAAAGAGCCCATTTTAATTGCCCAGATACTTGAAATACTCAAAACACTTTTGAGTTTATCTTTGTTGGTTATGTAGCTGTGGATTGGCCATGTCAGTAAGGCTTTTGGTTTAATTGCTTAGTTATTATTTAAAAAAAAAAAAAGAATTAAAAAGCACAAAGAAAAGTACCATGACTTAGTCCCTTTTATAAGGAAAGGAGTTTGAATTTCATTGATATCACTACTTGTTTTCAGTACTTGTGGGAAAAAGACTTTACCATTTTGAAAACAAATAAATGTGAACAAAAGGTTGGTATCCAGTTTTCAATTTACTTGGCTTATTTCTCTCTTCTTTTCCCTTTTCCCTCTCCTCTCACTCACTGCTATATCCCTTTATTTGTGCACACCCTTGGACCTTGAGATAACAAAGTTTTAAAAGGTGGGAATTTATTTCAGTGTTTGTCTGTGAGAGAGCATTTTGTAACATGTCATGGCAGCCATATCTGTGTTCACCAAGCAAATCCTGTGGGAGTTGAACTCTTTTCGCAAGGAGAGCTTTTACATACATGTAAAAGCTTTCCTTCATCCTTGATTTAATATTACTGCACCCATCATGACCTGTTGGTGGCTTGGTTTTATTTGATCTAATATCCATTTTGTGTCAAACACTAGAACAGAACTGGAAATTGACAAGGAAACTTGTGAAATTTCCAAGTTAATGAGACAGATAAAAAGACCCAGATCCCACCAAAGAGTTTTTTTTTTTGTTTTAGCCGGGCAAGCACTTGCTTACCCTGGTGAGATTTTGTTGGACATCAAGGTTATCTTTTGGCATAATGGAAGACTAGGAAAAAGAACTGCAGCTTTTGAGAATTATGCCAACTTTTTCAAATTGTGTTATTGCATCTCAAACAATTTCAAGTACACTGATCCAAAGGAACAGCACTTAAATAAAACATGAAGAGGCATATCAACATGTTTTACCCCTTTTTGAAAATAGAAAAGCAATTTCCAAAATATTATAATCCCTCTCACTCTTTATTTGCACACAATAAAATTTAAAGAAACACTTTTGGGGGGAGGTAAGAGCTGGAAACTGAATGGAGAAATTATATATGTTACCAGAGGAAGAAATCCAACAAGCTCATTTCTAAATAATTTAAATATCATTTTTCTGTGTCCTCTGAGAACACTGTATTAGTTTGCAGTACTCCAAGGAATGTTCACTAGCTTCAAGTTCCAGATGCCTTGAGATGATTAGTCTCCATGGAAACAGGAATGCATTCCAGAATAATTTGTTTCTTGATGATTTCATGCACTGTGGTGTTGAAAAGCAAGTTTATAGACTGTGAGTGTTGAAAACCAATAACATTGTCCGTAAAATTTGTTATTTCCTATTATTGATAAGAGTTCACATCAATCTATGTCATTGTTTCTTCTTTTCTTGCTTCATCTTTTTCTTTTCTTGCTTGGCCTTCTCTCGGTCATGGTTTGCCTTTAATAAGCAGCCGATAAATGAACAAAACTGCAAGCAAAGTTACAATATTTCATGTCTGTCATTTTACTCACTCTCTGTCTCCTCATTGGCTAACATGCTAAAGTTAATTTTGGACATCAGAGCAAACCTGCAAATTAGCTATTCATCCGCTAGCAGATAACTGACTAATCTGTATGATTCTCAAGAGCAATTACTATGGAATCTGTTTTAGGGATATCTCTTCAGTAGCCTGCAAGAGCAGACACCTTTTTCAGCGGGTGAGATTATAACTGAAAAGGAAGCCTGCTCTCACAGGCTGGGTCAACCACTTACAGCTGCACCTCAACCTTGCTTACTCCAAATATCACAAAAGCATCATCCAACAATATTGTTTAAAATCTGCACTTATCTTTTGTGTGTGGGCAAGGGAAAGCACATGGCATTAGATTCCACTTTAAAATTTAAAGTTTCTGCTTAATACAGGTTCACTTACTGTCCACGTCAGAAAACCGTGAATGGCTGAAAAATTTCTGGAATGCTGATTGTGTAGTGACCAATCACAATAAAGCTCAGGACATGTGAGCAAACCACAAAACCACAACTAACCACTGTTGCTTCATATTTGCGGTTTAGGTTTCTCACGCCTTATTGGCTTTCTTTTCACAACACAATAACATTCCATGAATAATTTCTGGTGTTCACAGTTTTGTGAGTTTCACAGAAAAGAGAATATGGGAAGAAAATAACTTTAAAGTAGGACTTCACGAGTGACAGAGGTGAAGTTACAATGGGGTCTTAAGAGGGCTTATTAATTATGACAAACATAAAAATTATGACCATGCACATGTGTGAGTTGTCAGGTATAGGCCCACCCCATTATTCCCCCGTGAGAAAAAATCATAAAGGCTGGTTTTCATTGATGATGGAGTCAGAGTTGGAGCCGTAATCAGAAGCATGGAGCTTATGATCTAGTGAAAACAGTGTTCCGATTCCGCTTACAACTCAGTTGCTTACATTCCGCTTATGATCTAGTGAAAACCAGGTTGTCGGAGTCGAAAGGAGAAGCAGAAGGACAAACCAATCACAATGCACGTTCCCACACTTTGTTATTGATTTAGTTCTTCCACTTCTGCTTCGGACTCCGACAATCTGGTTTTCCCTAGATCATAAACGGAACAGAAGCAACAGAGCCATATAAGCAAAGTTGGAAGAAATGGAAACGCTCTGATCTTTGTTGCACTTATGACTCCAATATTTCATTTTCACCAGATCATAAGTGCTCCTATGATTCCACTTACTCGGACTCCGACTCCATCAATAGTGAAAACCAGCCTTAAAGGCCCTCCTGAAGGTGTGGGTTTGTCCATATAATATAAAAGACCCAGGATGGTGGGTAGTCCATGCCAGCTGGGTTTGAATCAACGGCTTCCTAGTTTACCTCGGTGTAAAAACGTGTGAATTTTTTTTTGTTTTCTAGCTTTTATTTTCCTTGGCTCTATTGTGCTGACTT